TGCACTGTCGGCATCCCTCGCCATGTTGGTGCAGTCGCTTTCGCTGGGAATGATGATGAGGAGCATGCCGCTTCTATTCGAGTGAGTATCTAACTGTTGTTGTTGTTGATATGACAGGGGGATCGATCGATCTGCTATCCCTCGTTTGCTGATCAAAAGGGGTTAAAAAAAAAACAAAAAAAAAACCAAAAAAAAAAAATCATATATTGTCGACAGAGCCCTCAAGAGCCTCAGCATCCTCCTCGCCGGCCTTACCGCCACGACCCTCCTCCACGCCGCCCTGAGCCCCATACAATCCCGCATCCCGACCTTCACCACCTACTGCCGCCTCCTCCCGCTCGTTCTGATCCCCTTTGCCCTCGACGCCGCCGCCGCCGCAGGCCTCGCCGTCGTCGAAAACCGTCTCGGTACCGCCTCCGACGTCGCCGCCATCCTCGCACAGCAGGAAGCCCTCGAGTGGGCCGAGTGCGCCGCCGCCTTCGCCGCCGCCGTCGCCGTCCTCGGCTTTGTCGGGTGGGCCTGGATTTTGGGGACGAGGGCGGCGGCGGCGGCGCAGCAAGCCGTCGTCGGTTGGGCCGGCCGCACAGACTTTGAAACGGGGACTATCAACCGGACCGATACCTCCACGTCAACCGTCTCCGACCCCTCTAGCCTCGCCAACCTGTCGTCGTCGTCCCTCCCGCGCACCCTCTCCCGTTCCACCACTGCCACCACCACCGCCGCCGCCGCCTACTCCCCGTTCTCCCCGCAGCAACAGCAGCAGCAACAGCCGACCTGGCAGCAGCAGCAGCCGCCCAGCCAGCCAACTCCCCCGCTCGCCGCCCTCGTCCGCGACCCGACCCTTCGCGACTTTCTGCACGAGCAGCAGCGCTTCACCGCTCACTACCTCCAGCAGCTCGAGCCCGCCCGCAAACCCCGCTCGCCGCACTGCACCGAGGAGCTCAAACGCCGCGCGGAAGCGGCTGCCGCGGAGGCGGCTGCGGCTGCTGCTGCGTCAGCCGCGCTGCGCCTGTCGTCGGCGGCGGCGGCGGCGGATGCTGTCGGCCGCAACATCCACAACAGTAACAACAACCACCACCACGCAACCTTCTCCTCCCCCTCCCCCTCCTCCTCCTACGTGCCTTCACCGCCACCACCGTCCGACCCGCGCCACCACCACCAACACACCCCCGCCGCCTCCGCTGACGCCCGCCGCAACCTGTCCCGCGCCCGCGCCCGCGCCGCCGCCGTCGCCTGCCTCGCCGGCTCCGTCGTCGTCGCCGCCGTGTCCGCCTTTGGCCTTCGCGCCGCCGGCCTCGCCACAGGGCTCGGAGGGTACTCGGCCTGGGTCGTCGGCACGCTGTTGCGATAGTTGAGTGGGTTTTTCTGACTCTGTTTTCTGATACTAAAAGAACACGCGCGTTCTCGCTACCGAAACTCAGCTCCGCGACCGCCGCGACTGCATGCACGGTCCTTGCCGTCGAGCTGCGGCTGGCACTGGCCGAGAGGACGACGACGACGACGGCGTCCAGCAGCGGACGCGCGGGCAAGTTGAAAAGACAGGAGGAAGAGCTGGAGGTGGAGGACCCGGCTTGGATGGAAAGACGAGGCTTTTGAAAATCGCGGACGAACGACCCCTCGATGTAAAAATGTTTTTCGCTTTGTCGTGGTCCCCTCCCATCTCCCAACACCCCTCCCCCCTCCCCCCCCCCTCCCCACCCCATATTGGCCTGATTGGATGATGAAGATGCATTTTTTCAAAAAAGAAGCAGTGTAGCAGCAATTGCAAAACTTACAAAAGAAATATACACCCGCATTGAAGTTTTACTTCTTGTTTATTTTTTTTTTTTCACTGCTTGTTTGCTTCTTGCCAAAAACCGGATGGGGCGACGTGTTATCGAGACGAACGGGGGGGAAAAAAAAAAGGAAAAATGCTTGGTGAAATGCGTTTGTTATTCGTCCACACTCCGATTTATCGCGGCAGGAAACACAAAGCAAGATTCCAAATGTGAGGGAGCCGCGGCGGTGCGCGGCGGGGTCGCGAAGCGCAGGAGCTAGTGGAGAAGCCAAAGTGGCGGAGCGAGGCTGCGTCGAGCGACGCAACGAACGAAAATTGCAGCAGGAAAAAACCAAAACAAACGAAATTCCGCCACAGCTCTGCGCCGCCTTGTTCTTTTTCCCTTTTATGTTTGGTGGAGGAGGGGAAAGCGAAGGGAAGCGCTGTGCTGCATCAGACCCACGCGAGCGCGCGCGGGCGGAACTGCCCTTCTGTCCGAAAAACATAGGAGAAATTGCCACTTTTTGGGCGCAGACGACTACGACGACTAATACGACGTGTGCAAACGCATAATGATAATAACAAAATAATAAATAATAATAATAATAATAATAATGTTATCCCAACCGCCAGTTCGGCTTCTTCCTAAACTTTCCTTGTCTGCAATACGATAGAGTTCGGGTAAATATTGAATCCATCCTTTCTTTTTCTTTTTTTTTCTATCATTTTTTTTTCTTTTTGGTTTTTATTTTGTTGGGTCGTTTTCTTCTTCTTTTTCTTCTTTTTTTCATGCTTTGTTTTTCCTTCTCCCTTGTTTCCTATTTCGGATAAAATTCAAGCATTAAATACAGCAGCATGTGGAGCGGCACCATGGGATCCGGTGAGTCTTCGCTGGCCACTCCCTTTCTTGCGAGGACAAGGACGATGACGACGACGACGACGACGACGACGACGACCACGTTGACGCACCTGCGACCAACACACACACACATACACACACACATGCACACACACACACACACCCACTCCGGCTAATACAGTATCCCTCCCCACCCCTTTCCCCACCACACATACCTTTGGATCGCGATCGCCTCGACCAACATAATGAAAAAAGCTGATTCGACGGACGGCGGCAGCGGCGTTGCATGCAAGCCGCTCGGACACGATCTGCCGTGCAACGCCGACCTGACGGGCCCCGCCTTTTACAGATCGCGTGAGTGTGGCTAGCGAAAGAGAAGGGGGCGTCTTCAACTTCAGCCGCCCAGCGGGCCAAGGAGAACTCGATCTGACACCCTATCGCCCCCCCCTACTTTTTTTTGGCAATAATCGTCTCCAAGTCGAGATTTTCATCGTCGGCAACGTTCTCCTCGCTGTTGTCGGCGTCCATGTCCTTTTCTTGCGGGTCCGCCTTGCCGGTCTAAAGGGCGAAAGTCCTCTCACCTCAATGTTCCTGAGTGTCCTAACATCCATCCTGGCGGTCCTCTTTTGCGCCGGCTCCCTGGCCTACTTTTATATTAAAGAGCCGCTGCTCATGTTGTGAGCCATTCTGCTTCCGGAACTTGCATCGCAAACCGCAACACCAAACCATCTGACCGTTTTACGTTCATCCCCTGAACGAAAAAAAAAAAAAAAAAAAAAAAAAAAAAAAAGCGTTTTCCAGGGCGTCGCCGTCACCATGGTCTTCGTCACCATCACCCTCTTCATGCACGCTTTCCTCAACCCCATGACCCTCCACGCCCCCGCCTTGCAGATCTACATCCACATCCTCTACTTTCTTCCCACCCCAACCCTCCTGCACGTCGCCACCATGACGTACCTCGGCGCCATCGAGGCCCGCCTGCAGAAAGACTCCGACCCCTCCCCCGCCCTCGCCGCGCAGTACTCCACCGCGAAATCCATCGGCACCGCATCCTCCCTCGCCCTCTTCGCCACCGCCGTCGCCTACATCGCCGCCGCGTGGATCGCCTTCGGTCGCGCACTGAGAGACATCGTCGGCCCGTCCCTGCTCAGCCTCCGCAGCGCGAGAGCAAGCACCGCCGCCGTCCGCGGCGGCAGCGACCCGCCGCCCCCAAAACCGTCCGACGACCGAGCGCGACACCGACGCCCGTCCTCCTCCCCGTCCCCGCTCCACCACCACAACCCCCCGCGCCTCGCCTCCTGGTCCCTCTTCCGCTACCACCCCCCCGCCCCCGCCGACAACCCCGCCCTCCGCCGGCCCCGCCGCCGCCGCCCCATCCCCACCCGCAAACAGCCTGATCCCCCTCAACTCCCTCCTCCGCCCCGCAAACAGCACAACTTCCTCCTCCCCGCCTCCGCCCCTCTCTCCGACCTCGAACCCGTCCCACGCGTCGTCCTCCACCCCGCTCGACCCTCTCGACCGCGTCGAGCGCGAGCTCCGCGTCGGCACCGTCCGCGCCGTCCGCAGCGTCCTCAAGTGGGTCCTCGTCGGCCTCGTCTGCGGCGCCGCCGTGCTCATCGCTACAAAGGCCGCGGTCGAAGCTATGCCGAAAGGCACCGTGCGCGCGTTCGCAGTCTGGGTCGCCTTTAATTTGTCGCAGTAGTTGAGTGTCACGCCCCCTCTTTTTTTTTATTTTTATTTTATTTTTTTTTTTAAGGTTGTTGTAGCCTTCGTTTCTCTGACTGGGCCTCTCTTTTTCCCAGCTTCTGCCTCATGGTCGGAGTCGTTGCGATCTACATTGGGCAGTACAAGCAGTACGCTCTGGAGACAAGATGAAACCCCCTCGCAAGCAGCGGGGTTAGGGTGGGGAGGGGGAGCGGAGAGTGTATTTGTTCACGCACTTTAATCAGCCGTTATAGAGGAAGCGAAAATACCACGCGCGTTTTGGAAAATAGAAGGGGGGGCAGGCGCACACCCAGCGTTTTGGGGAGGAGGACTTGCCTTTCCCCTCTTTTTTTTTCTTCTCTTTTTTTTTTCTTTTTGGTCGTTTAAAATATGACTCAAGATCGAACTTTTTTCTTTATTTTCTTTTTTTTTTCTCTTTTTTTTCTGAAGGCTGACGGCTGAAGCGCCCAACCTTCGCTACAGCCAACTGAAGAGTCGAGGAGGAGATTCGTTCGCTTTCGATCACAACCGGATGCGCATACAAAAGAACGACCCTACATCACGAACACTCACCTCCCCTTCACCATTTTCCCTCGATTCGAGTCCCCTCGCCGCCGACCGTTTCTGTTTGTTTCGGAAGTCTGCAGGAAAGTAACAGGGTTTTGGGACTAGCAGGCGTGCGGGCATGTGGCGAAATGGTCTACCGCGTTCGACTTCTAACCGAAAGATTGCAGGTTCGAGTCCTGCCATGCTCGATGGCGGACATGATAACAGATGATTGGTTACTCATTGTTTGGTGATGAGGGTGCACAGCCTTAGCAGGCTACTCATTACGAAGTCCATTCCGAAAAATCGCCGGTTGATGATTGTCCGGTTTTTTGTCGCATCATCAGTTCAAACATCCGATTGCGAAGGATCTCTAACACCACCACGATAGCCGGGTCGCCTCGAAAGCCCTTTACCGCTTGCCGCCCAGTCAGCAGAGGAACTGTGTCCCGTTGCGCAATCGCAAGGTCCAGGTTAGCTCCGCAATTGTCTGTTTGGTTGGTTGACCCACCCAACAGTGGCATTGTCAGAGAACATCCAGCGGGGTAGGCACGCCCGCGTCGGCGCGCAGCTGGCAATCTTTCGCCCGGTCCACGTACCTTCCCAATCCAACGCCATTCGCACCCACGCCCTCCTGGTGCGCGTCAGGCTCCCCCAGTCCCACCAAGGCAGAGTATCGTCTTACGCCTGAGTGCGGCGTTGGCAGACTGATTCAAGATACGTTCTTTCGTTTTGCCGACGTTTGGTTCAGTCGGTGACAGTATTTACCTCTCGTTGAGTGGGTTAAGGGGCGGTGTGGTTCGCGAGCTCTTTTGGGGTAAGGGGTTAGGAAGGGGCTGGTGAGAATCGGGCTGCAGCAGGTTTAACCCTTTTGCCTACCTAAAAGATGGCAAATAGATCGGTGGGATTCCCTTTTTTCGTCTTATGATGTCATAGAGAAGGGAAGGCACACGCGCAGACACCCAGCAGACCAATCCCACCAAAATTAATAATTGAAGCCCCAAGAGCCCCCCCATGTGACCAGGAATGTGACCAGCACGTGAGCAGCGGAAACGTGAAGAAGAATAATAACAACAAAAAAGAAAAGAAAGAAAAAAAAAGAAAAGAAAGAAAAAAAAGAAGAAAGCGAGAGAGGCGGCCCATGACGACGAAGACGACGACTACGACGATGGACAACGTCCGCTTCGCCGCCGCCGCCGCCACCACCAGCCGCAGCAGCAGCACCATGCTACACCGCCTCATCCTCCGCCTCGTCGCCGCCGCGACTCTGCTTCTGCTCCTCTGCACGGCCTCATCATCGCCGACAACGGCAAAGACCCCGACCCTTCTTGCCCTCGCCGCCCCCGTCCGCCGCGCCGCCGCCATCGACCCGCGCGCCCCGCTGGCCGCGAGCTGGAACTCAAAGGGCAACTCGTACCCCATCGTGTTTCTCCACGGCCTGCTCGGCTGGGGCGACGAGGTTCGTGTGTTGTTTGAAAAAAAAAAAAGGTTGACGCGTTTCTTTTTCCTGGATTCTTTTTTGGGCAAAATGCGGACAGCCATTGCTACGACGTGAGTACGGAGAACATTCGAATCGCCAAAACATTTGCTCAAATATGTTTAATCGTTCCCAGTTTTGAACTACTGGGGCGGCATCACGACAAACATCCTTGACGTTCTCCGCGACAAGGGCTACGAGGTGTACGCTCCGTCGATGGGACCAGTGTCTTCAAACTGGGAGTGAGTAGTGTTTATTGGCTCCTCAAACCTCAGACACTCGTGCGTTTTGTTTCTCATGTCCTCTCAACTCCTGGATTTGTTCCCCAGACGCGCCTGCGAAGCCTACGCCCAGCTCGTCGGCGCGCGCGTCGACTACGGCCTCGCGCGGGCCGCCCGCTTCAACCACAGCCGGTTCGGCCGCGACTTTTCGCAATCCGCGCCCCTGGTCCCGTCCTGGACGCGGTGCGCCGATTGCAAAATCCACCTCGTCGGCCACAGCATGGGCGGCCCGACGATCCGCGCCCTCGCGCACCTCATGGCACACGGCAGCCAGCCCGAACTTGACGCGTGCGCCGCCGCCGGCGTCCCGTGCTCCCCGCTGTTCTGGACCAACCGCACCTCGTCCTACATCGAGGGCGTCTTCACCGTCGCCGGGGCCACGCAGGGCAGCGCCTTTGACGAGTACCTCTTCGACCACGGCCTCTTCAAAGACTTTGTCCTCGACCTCGTCAAGCTGCTTGTCGCCGCCACCGGCGCCGTGGAAGACCTCACCCCCGCCCTCGACCTCTGGGACTTCCAGCTCGGCCACTGGGGGCTCGACCCGCAGCCGGGCGAACCCCTCGTCGCCTACGTCGACCGCCTGCTCTCCGACTCCCGCTTCGCGTCTTCCGACTCCACCGCCCTCTACGACCTCTCCGTCTCCGCCGCCCGCTCCGACCCGTTCCTCGCCGCCGTCAGGAACGCCCAGGACGTGACCTACCTCTCCGTCGCCGCCCTCACCACCTTCAACTTTTTCGGCCGCTCCTACGCCCGCCCATCCACCTTCCCGCTGCTGATCCCCACCGCCAACATCGTCGGCTCGTACTCCAACAAGGCCCTCGGCATCGCCGGCGGCGACTGGCGCCCCAACGACGGCCTCGTCTCGCTCATCAGCGCACGCGGCGACGCCGTCGAAGGATACGTCGACTACCCGCTCGACCTCGAGGGCTCCGTCGACGCCCTCGTGACCCGCGCCGTCAACAGGCCGGTCAGGGGCAAGTTCTCGTACGTCGGGTCTACCAGAGACGACCACATTTCGTCCATCGCGGTCCTGGATTTGGTCAAAGGGCGCAAGAACCAGGAGTTTTTGAACATGGCGGGCATTCTGGCGTCGCTGTAAGGAGGGGTGGCGGGTCCGTTCCCGAGGGGCTGGGAACAATGCACCTCCCCACGCCTTCTTTTTTTCATTATCCCCGATTTTTCCCGTGTTGCGTCGATAGGTATATTGTGACGCATTCTTCTTCCCCCACACACATACGTGCCTCATTGATCCTTTGGTTGCATTCAAGTAATTACCCTCTCTCTCTCTCTGACAGGACCCCCCAAAAAGGTGGGGTCATAATCTATGGGCTTGTATGCCTCTGGACGTTACTTTACTTCAATCTTTTCTCTATCTCTATCCCTCTCTCTCACTCTCTCACTCTCTCTCTCTCGCTCCTAAAACCTCCTCCTCTACTCTTTCGGCACCGTATGGCTGATCCACCCTCAATGAAAAATAAATTGTTTAGCTTCTCACAAGGATAAATAACTTGCGACTAATTATTGGGAAACATCGGTTGTTTTTGTTTTTCCTGTTTTTGACGTCATGCGCCGAGGCGTGAGACACTGCCGATGAGGCCGAACGCAATCGAAGAAAAATCAAACAAAAGACGAAAACATCAACAGAAAAAAAAAAAAAAGAAGAAAAAAAAAAACAACCAAAACTCAGCAAACACACACACACACACACACACACACACACACACAATCATGCCGACGACCTCGACCACGACCGCCACAACCGCCGCCACGCCCGACGCCGCCGCCGCGTCGATCGCCGTCGCGACCGCGTTCGTCGCCGCGCTCGACGCATCCAACTTCCGACCCCGCCACGGGTCGTCCGAAGACCCCGCCGCCGCCCTCGCCGCCGCCAAATCCCGCCTCCGCGCCCTCCTGCACCCCGCCTTCGTCCACGTCGTCCTCCCCTCCACCCTCCGCCCCGTCCAGCCCCAACGCGACCGCGACGACTACGTCGACTACATCGCATCCACCCTCCGCGACGGCTACGCCTCCTTCGCCGCCCGCGTCCGCCTCGCCTTCGCCTCCCACGACGGCCGCCACGTCGAGGTCAAGGCCGCGTCCAAGGGCGTCTCCGCTACCGGCGTCGACTACGGTCAGGAGTATAGCTTGTACTTTGAGACGGCCAGGGATCACGACGACGGAAAGGTCAAGATCGTGCGGTTTGAGGAGTTTGTCGACTCGGCGTATTCGGATCGGTTCTTTAGGGAGGAGTTCAGGCGCGCGCGGGCCGCCGCGAAGGGTGAGTTGTGTGTGTGTGTGTGTGTGTGTGTGTGTGTGTGTGTGTGTGTGTGTGTGTGTGTGTGTGTGTGTGTGTGTGTGTGTGTGTGTGTGTGTGTGTGTGTGTGTGTGTGTGTGTGGAGAGGAGATGGTGGGGGCGGAGAGAGACGAGGGATTGTGTGCGCGCGTGTAAGAGTGTTATTGATTTCTGTGCCTCACACACCCGAAACCAAACAAAAAAAACGAAAAAAGCAGCAAAGCTGTGAGAAAAACGGGAAGAAAAGGGCTTGTTTGGTTGGTGGTGGCCCTCTTCAGTATTGAATAAAGAACGTCATTAGTGTCATCATTTTAGTCATTTATTACTGGCCATGGTCCAATAGGATAATAACCAATTTTTTTTTTTTTTGTGTTTTTTCGGACAAACGAGCAAAACTGTTCAAATTCGCTGTCGAGCGTCGGGTGTGATTGTGATTGCGGGAGTGGGAGTGTGACAAGTCAGGTTTTTTTTCTTCAATTAATTATTCTTTTCTCACAAGGGCATATTCCAACACTCCCCCTTGCATGAGCGCCTTTAAAAGCAAAACTACTTCAAAGGAAGAAACTGAGTGAGAAAATTTAAAACGCCACTGCCTGGGTGAAAAACCCAAACCAATTGACCGGTCTGGAAAACTGTAGCAGGGTAAGGAAAGGAAACGTATTGGGGAAGGCACTGCTGAGGAGAGTACTGCAAAAGGGTTAGGGAAAACAAAAGGGTGCACAAAACAGCAAAACAAAAGAAGGACTAATGGTTGCCCCACCCTGGGGCCTAACCTACTACTTTACCCTTGCGCACCATGTGTGCCCTCCATGCGGCGCTGTGCGCTGTATTCTTCTCCCTGTCCTTGGTCCGTTTCTGAAGAAAGTGACCTTCACGGCGTTTTGTCCTAATTGCTTGTACATGCTCAATCAACTTGTTATGTTCGACTGGTCCCTTGCTTGAGTCAACAAGTCCAAGTAGTATTCGGCCTTCAAAAACCATGTCATGTCCATGTGGCTTGGTGAGGAGGTTGGCGAGCTGATCAAAGGAGGGGACGTGATCAAGTGCACAAGTGCTGTTGTTGATGATGTTGGGACTGTTGATGAACGCGTCGACTTCCACCCAATTGCTCCCGCTGCTAGCAGCACGAGGTATGCTATCTGCGAGCGAGAGCCATGG